CAGCACTCGGGAGGCAGAGGCAGGTGGATCTCTGTGAGTTCGAGGCCAGCCTGGTCTACAGAGTTGTAGACTGTTGTATAACCCCAAGAAGTGCTCCTCTGAGATCTCTACTTCAGTTCCTGTCCGGACGTCTCTTGATGATGGTCTGAAAGCTGTTAAGTTGAAATAAACCATTTCCTCCCACAAACTAGGTGTGGCCAGTGTTTATTGACATGAGGTTAACATCCCAAGGTTTTATTGTGGCAACTTTGTCTGACAAACAGTTAAAAAAGCTTTGCAGGGTTGAAGCAATGGCTCAGAGGTTAGGAACACTTGTTGCTCTTATAGAGGACCTGGGTTCTGGTCTCAGCCTCCATATAGCTGTTCACACTGTTCATAACTCAAGTCCCAGGGAATGCAATACCCTCCTCTGATATCCATGGGCATCAAACACACACAGTAAACATACATACATCTAGGAAAATACTCATACATATAAAATAATATGTATATGAAATAAATTAAAAAGAGATAGACAGGCCTTGCGATATGTGAAGTGGTGTGACATATTTACTTCTTTGCCAAAACATCAGCCTATCAGTGCTCATCAAATTGTTTTCCACAGCTTCACAAACCACTTGGTTTCTTGTGAAATCCTTTCGAAAACATTACAAATAAAAAGAGGACTGTCTCTGGAGTCTACTCTGGACCCTTTGGCACAATTTGGATCTGAGCTTCCCTTTCCGTAGGGAAGGGAGAGAGGGAGGGAGGGAGGGAGGTCTGAGTGAGAGAAGTCCTAAGTGAATGTGTAGTTTGACATGGTTCCATAGAACACTTTCTTTTTTTTAAAAAAAAGATTTAATTTATTTATTGTGTATACATGTTCTGCCTGCATGCCTGCACACCAGAAGAGGGCGCCAGATCTCATTACAGATGGTTGTGAGCTACCATGTGGTTGCTGGGAATTGAACTCAGGACCTCTGGAAGAGCAGCCAGATGCTCTTAACCACTGAGCCACCTCTCCAGCCCTCCATAGAACAATTTCACAAAGCTGTTACCCATATGGAAATGGCATAACATTCCTGGGGAATCTGAGAACACGTGTTCATGGAAACTGATCAGTGTGTGCAACCGCACTTTCTCCTCCTAGGTATTCACAGCCTTTCTGCCTGCTCCTAAAGAGACCGCCTGGAGACTAGCTAACTCCTCCCCCGTGCTGGACCCAACCCACCCAGACTCCTGGCTGCCAGGGTAGCCTGAGCAGAGCCCTGCCTTGTCACAGCTTCACTGTATGTGTGCATGTCTGTTTGTCCTTCCTTTGTTCCCTAGACGCAGGACCCAAGCCAGCACAGCACCCTTTTCCACTTCTGACTTTATGGTGATTACGACGACAACAGAAATGCCCCTGGTGTTAGGTACGAATGATTTCACAGAACAGTTATCTTTGCAAACACAAATTATCGGCTGTTTCAGCTCCCTAGCCACCAAAAGATGCAGCACGTAACACACTTAAAATAGCACACTCATTCTTTGAAACTGATTCAATTTTGAGAAAATGACAAAATTCCCCATGGCTATTCTCCTGAATGACATCCTACAGGACATATTTTAATGGCAGGTAGAAATTTGTTCTTTGTACCGTAGGCTGAGAAGAAACAACTCCTCCTCTCAGGAAACTGAGCCCCACAGCCAGGAATGGTAGCACACCTTTACTCTACACGAAGAGGCAGAGGCGGTGAATTTTTAAGTTCATGGCTAGTTTGATCTACATCTCGAGTTCCATGCCAACCAGGGCTACACAGTAAGACTCCGCCTCATAAGTAAGCAAGCAAGCAAGTAAATAAATAAATAAATAAATAAGTAAATAAACAAACAAGGAATTCAGCATCACGACAGAACGGGCTTTTTTCAGTGCTGTTCTCTGATTACAAGCTTCCAAGTCTTAGCAACAAAAATTTCTGATTTCAAGGTCATAGAAAAAAAAAAGCCAGACAGGAAATCTCTGGGCTCAATCCTCCAAATATTCAGCAGGAATCTTTCATTTAAGTAGATTTCCATTGGTGCTTAAGCCTATAA